CAATTAAGGCCTTAGTTTTATTTTGAAGAATTCAATGCCTTTTAAGACTTTTTAAGGACCCGCGGGAACCCTGCTAAAGCTGACTTGCAGCCATTTTGCAGTCAGTCTTAAAATAAAACATATCTTGGTGCCTTTGCAGAGCTGCATCCTTGGTTTTTGTTTGTTTTTGCATTTGATGAACCAGTCTGACGTGGAAAGAGGAGAAGAAACGTTACCTGGTTCACTGAGGGCGAAGCAGCCAACCTTCTCTCCGGTAGTGAACGGGCTGATCCACTGCTTCTTCTGTTCCTCTGAGCCGAACTTCAGAACCGGCCCGATGTAGAGAGACTGATAACCACAGGGACACACAGATCTCAATCCCAGCATCGGATCAGCTCCATCTAACTTGGTCCAAATGGTACCGACAGGTTTGCACCTACATTGTTGACAGAGACCACGACGCCGGTGCTGGCACAGCCTCTGCTTATCTCCTCCATCACCAGACTGTAAGCCAGGTAGTCCATCCCTGCTCCACCCAGCTCCTCTGGGACCTCTATGGCCATCACACCCATCTCCCCCAGCTCCTTTATCTGGACGGGAAAACAACAGACACTGCTAGTTCCTCCTGCTTCACCAATGGATCAGTCAGACCCAATTACTGCCTGTTATCAAACAGCATTTGAAACACTGAATGTTTCATTTTGACCCCAGAGAATAAAAACCTGGATAAATATAAAACACACCGATATGGAGTGAAAGCTTTTTCATTATTGTTTTAAACATCTTTTGTAAAACACAGGTGCAACCGTGCAGTAAACGATGAAACACAAACTCCAAAAGATGCAAGCACAAAAAATAAATGCAACAAAAAAACAAATGCTGCAATCGATAAAATAAAAGAAGCCAAAACCTAAAATTGACAAATGCAAAAAAAAAAGAAGCTGGAGGCAAAAACTAAATGCTGCAATCACAGAAGGTACATGATGCAAATTGTAAAAATAGCAGCAAACTCCCATCATAAGTACTCCAGACTACTAGAGGGAGTCCAACAGAACAAACCAACCCTTCATACAAACAGGAAGTCAAGATTTAATGCAGGGATTTTTTTAAAATAGAAATTTGGAGGCTGAAAGGAGAGAGAGAGATAAAAAAACACAGAGGCATGTCAGGGGTGTGAGTGAAATGGAGTTCTTTCTGTCAGATTGACAGACCGTAGTAGCCATGTTTGCTCAGCCATGTCTTTGTCCAAATACGTCGTCGCCTTTTCCTTTTAGGGCTTTTAGTACAAAATTGCCCAAATTGCCAATGCAGCGCGTTTCTCACTAGTGAGCTTCATATTCCTCTTCTACTCGTTTAGCTTCCGGATAGACAAGTCCAAGTAGCGCCATCTCACTGCGGAGCTGAGTCCCACCTGGTTTTTAGACGTACAGTGTGAGCAGGTAGATCTCATCAGAGCGTCGGGTCGCATAGTGTGAGAACAAACATCATGAGCTGTGATCTTTTAAACCCTGCTGTTTGGTCATACAGTGTGAGCTGTAGCTGCGTGCGACGACTGAAAAAAAATCACACAGTGTCTGCCCAGCTTAAGGAGCCGTAGGTCCTATATCTTCCATCAGTCTGAGGTGGAGAGTGTGATCTCTTCCTCCATCATCTGATGGAATAACAGCATCAGAGCAAATGACTTAAAGAAGCTTAACAAGCCGTTAAAGAAGGTCAACTCCTACAACAACTCCATAAAAAAAGGGGGAAAAATCCCATGATTTACTGCAACATTTGATTTCCGTGCGGGATTAATAAAGTGCTTATGTAACGAATTGTTCTTTAAATATTTTAATGTATAGATTGGGCTGAAGTTTATTTACAATAGCAGCAACAGGCGTCTGCAGCACAGCTGAGCATAGTTAAGGAGCATCTACTGTAAGGTTGATTGGCAGGTGGTCTGAGAGGGGCGTGAAGGAGAAAAACCAACCTTAAACGTGGGGGCGGGAGTGGACTCAGATTTCAGCTTTCAAAAACCTACAATGCAGCTATAGAGTTGATCCCTACCCGCTATCATTTAAATTGAAAAATTTGTCTTGATGGGAAGCGAAACGTCTTCAAACTTGGAAACAAAGTCCAGTGGATTGGTTTTAACTTTTTTGGAATTAGCCTTAAAATCGACGTCTAAATGATGTCAGACCCGCTGCGAAACAGACCGCTACAGAAGACCCTTCCTGCCACAGATATTAACATCTACAGCAACTCCATGAAAAAGAAAAAAAAACATAAAAGCTAAGGTATTTCCTTTTCTTTTGGGATCAATAAAGTCGTTTTTAACGACATTTTTTCACTGAAAACTAAAAAAAATCTTGAGATTTGAGCAAATGTTCAGCTTCCACCTCATGGATGAAACTACACAATATCCATCTGTTAGAAGGCCTAGTCCAGGGGTCGGCAACCCAAACTGCTCTAAGAGACATACTGGACCAAAAAAACAAAAAATAAATCTGTCTAGAGCCGCAAAAATGTAAAAGTCTCATACATGCCTCTTATGGAAACACGGGCCTTACGTGTATTATCCCACTATAGAAAATGACTATGTGGGCTTAAATATATAATAAGCATTCATGATTAAATCTTTATCCTCGAGCAAATGTCACATAGCAGCGTGAGGTGAGGGACGAGCAGTGAGCGATCTCACCGCGCTGCTTCACCGCCCTTCACCGCGGTTTAAGTTTTGTTGCATTGATGAAATTATAGAAACAGGATCAAGGAATCTTTCTATGGTGGACGTGTTTCTGTTGGGAGGATCTGATTGAGTCATGAGGAACCAAGCAAGAACTGAGATCCATCAGAGCAGAGCTCTCTAACCCTGAAATCCCCCATCCCAGCGTTATTTGGTGATTTATATTTTTAGGATTTGGGGAAAAAATGGAAGAAAGTTCCCATCCCTGCATCAGAGCGCTACCTGTTTGATCTGTGGACAGTTTTCCATCCTTGCAACAAAACTAGCAGCAGTAGTGGAGTTTGGAGATGTGATCCACTTCTTAAATCTACATTTGCTCTCCTCTAATTTATCCAGAAGTTCTGCAAACACCATTTTTCTCTCCCTCCCAGCTTGGTTGTTGGCTGCATATTTAGCTTACCTTCCCTGGAAATGCCTTTCCAAATTTTTATTTTTATTTTTTGCCAACCTCTCATTACCAAGCAAAAATGCAGGCAATCCTTCCGCATTGATAATGAAAGAAAATGATTCGGTCCATCCTTTGAATCCTCTTTTCTCATCAGCCATCTTCCTTTTATCCCCTTTGGGATCAATGGTCTGAGACACTCCAGCAGCCTGGCACTGCGCAGCGCTGGTTGCAAGTTATGACCACTGATCTCTACGGCTATGGCGCAAATTATTGTTTAAATTTATTTATTATACAAATGT